GGTAAAATTTGGGTGTATTGCTTATGCATATTTATTTATATTCATATATGGTCATTTCTTATGTCAGTTACATCTTTTGTTTGATGCCTTCATTGTGGCACTGGTTACATGTCCCGTTCTGCAACAGTTCTGGTCATCTGTTATTTTATTCAAATCTCTTGTTTAACGTCATCATAATTCAGCAGGTTTCATCTTCTTAACTACGACAGGAGAAAGAATGCGACTCAGGAGTAGAATTTACATACACAATTTTAGCCAAATGGGACCAATACAACACATGTAATTGCACATGTTTCGTTTTCCAAAAATCCAAAATCCAAACCATGTGACACATCAAAATTATATTATTTTTCTCATATAAAGCTATGGCCAGGCATGGTATATATAAAAACATCCAGTAGATCGATTGAAGCCCCTTTGAGAAACAAATGTCCAAACTTTTGATCATGTTTACATATAATCCAAGATGGCGGCCAAACCATGTGACTGATGTAAATTATTTTTCTACTTTCTGAAAGAGTTCAACATAGGGATGCAATATAGCAATTCAGAGGATTATCACATAATTGTAGAATAAGTAAAAAAACTACTTCCTGTTTAGAAGAAAACCAAAATGGTGCCCTAACCATGTGACCAATCATAACCAATTTCTCAAACTTGAATTTGCATCATATATAGATGATAAAATACCATATGTGAAAGCATTTTGTCTAGCAGTTCTGAAGAAGAAGATTTAAAAATGTTTTTTTGACCATTTTTAGGAGACAAAACATGGCGGAAAAAGTCACGTGACCGCTAAAGTTTTTATTGCTTAAATCTATTACACATGAGTTGTTCTGTATACATGTACCATAAAAAATCTAGACGCCTATACCCTCAGAAAGCGACCAAACAGCCACTTCCGGTTTTATTTCAATCTAATATGGTTGCTGAACCAATTGACCAATCACATTGTGAAAGTCAGGTGCACCAGTTCACTTTAGGGACTATTAGTATAGAGCATTTTCAGACTATTCCGTTCAGCGGTTTTCTCAAACGGCTTGATGAAAAAAGTTACAGAAGAAAGGAAGAAGAAAAAAACGAACGATAATAATAGGGGCCTAGCCCTTTGGGCTTGGGCCCCTAAAAAAACTCCAGCGATAACAAAAGGGGTCCAGCCCTGAAAAGGCTTGCACCCCGAACTATATATAGTACTGATTATAGATTATTTTCAATAATTTTGCAGATTAAATATTTGGAAAGATGTCTGCTGTTTTTCAATTCTCTGCTCGGAGTGTATTGCTGGGTCTTTCTCTGTCACGCTACAGGCTGTTATTAACCACCTCTCAACAGTGCAATATTGGTATACTACAGCAAAAAAAATATTCACACAAGAGAAATTTCAGTAAAGATTCACCTAGGCTATCTACATGGGATATTTCGTCTGAAAAATGTGTAAGTCTATTTTTTTGTATCAGTTTACACAGTACTCAAATGAGACGTATGTTCTGGTCAGTATGATTTCCAGGAACATTGTGAAAACAAAGAAAAATTGTTAGTTCAAACTGTATTTATTATCAATGTCACTTTTTTACCAAAACCATCAGTTATATCAGTTTTATATTATTTCATCAGAAACCTCAAGGTACTCTTTTTGCTTTGTTAATT